AACACCGTCTGTCTGTCTGTTTCCTGGGGGACAGTTTAAGTACCCTATGAACATCTCTGGGGGAGGGTCATCATTTGCGAGCTTTCTGAGCTGTGGCAGGGTTTGGAGAGAGATGGGGGAGGGGTCCTGGGGCGGAACTTCCAATAGAACATTGCTGACTCTTTGGGTAAATGGATGCCCGGGGCTGGGGTAAAGCTTCTACCAGAACACTTGGGGAACTGATTCCTGCCATCTCCAAGTCCTCCTGGGTGCCCTTCGACACACCCCACCCCCAGCTGTGGTTCATTTGGTGGCGTTGCCCTTTCTGGAATGCCCTTCCTGATTTGCTCTGTAGTGTCGGTGGCAGCAACCGGAAGATTATGTTCTTTGTGAGCGCTTCCTCTTCACCCTTCACATCACACTGTTTACCGCCGCTGCCCTTGTTAGTCTTTGCTGGCTCTCCACTTGCATCTGCATATAGTTGATTAGTGAAATTCGTTTATACTGAAGGATTTGGGCCTCGCCTTGACCGTGATCAGGCCTGTTGGATGGCAGCTATCGGGTTTGCATTTTAAGATGATTGGGTAATGGTGTAGATGCTGAGTTAGCAGAGGATGCTGAGAATGCCTGCTTCGAAGAGAGCCCAGTTATCTAGAATTAGTGTCTTCAAACTCCTGCTTCCTTCTTCTGTAACACAGAAGACATTATAATTATGATGATGATGAGGTCAGGTTATTAGTCACCTTGGGTTAGTAGCCTTGCAGTCATTCAGGGATCCAGACTGACGAATACAGCTGTACCCTCAACACTTTTGAAGCAGTTTGAAGCATCAAGTTCTAGAAGTTGAAGGGAAATCTGGACAGTAGAGGTTTGTGTGAACCAGGTCTAGAAGGGGTAAATACCCCTACCAGAAGCTAAGCTGTCTCCTGACCCCAAGGGGTAAATACCCCCACCAGAAGCTAAGCTGTCTCCTGACCCCAAGGGGTAAATACCCCCACCAGAAGCTAAGCTGTCTCCTGACCCGGAGGGGTATGGCCTGGGTAGTCTAGAAGTGGTAAATATCCCCTACCAGAAGCTAAGCTGTCTCCTGACCCGGAGGGGTAAATATCCCCTACCAGAAGCTAAGCTGTCTCCTGACCCGGAGGGGTAAATATCCCCCCACCAGAAGCTAAGCTGTCTCCTGACCCGGAGGGGTAAATATCCCCCCACCAGAAGCTAAGCTGTCTCCTGACCCGAAGTGGTAAATATCCCCCCACCAGAAGCTAAGCTGTCTCCTGACCCGAAGGGGTATGGCCTGGGTAGTCTAGAAGTGGTAAATATCCCCCTACCAGAAGCTAAGCTGTCTCCTGACCCGAAGGGGTATGGCCTGGGTAACGTGGTCTCTAGGGCTCTAATCTTGGTTAGAACTTCACAAAGAATGTGTGTGAGAGAAATTTGGGGAAGTTGAAGGAGAGGGTGACAGTGTGGAGAGAGTCTGTGGAGAAATGATTACTGCTCCCGCTGGGGACTGAAGGCAGGAGAGGGCCTCTGTTCTATTATCTAAAAGGCAGACTGAACCCTTAGATGCTGATTTGGAAGCTGCTGGGTGGTAAATCCTGTGACCCCAGTCACAGGAGCAGACCAGATCTGAGAAGGTGAGCCTACAGAGATAGGGGAGTTTTAGGAATAATCTGCCAGGCAGGAATGAGATCTCTAGGGTGAAAGAGGAGCTGCAAGCCCAGAGAAAGAGGGTGTGTAACAAGCAGTGGCTGTGAGTGCATGAATTTGAGACGGCCTCGCTATGTTGGCCTGACTGGCATGAAGCTTACTATGTAGACCAAGCTGGCCTCCAGCTCACGAAGATCTTCCTGCTTCTGGGATGGAAGCCACGCACCACTGTACCAGCCTGGTGAACCTTTATAATGTGCTTAATTGGTAAGATAATCATGGAAGGAGGATCTCTTCTTACACAAATTCCCAAAATTTGGATTCAAATTTTGTACTAGAAATCTGGACATGTGATATTTACTGGCCTACATGACTGAGGTTCTTCCTCATTTTTCACCTTTGTCTACTCCCATGATTTTATACTAGGTAGTTTCCTAAACTACCCCAAACGTTTTTTTCCCATGGGAAATAGAAAGTGAGTGTGACTAACTGTACTTTTTTGTGACTTTTGACTTCCTGATGGCAGGGTTATCTCTGGGAGTTTCAGTGAGTTTCTGTCTCCTGCCTTACATTCCTCTCTCCACCGAGCCACAGCACTTTGTCTCCACCTCCCTAGTGCTGGGACCACCTTTGTCCGACCTTGTTTGGGTCAGGGTAGCCTTGAACTAACAGAGATTAAAGGGGGATTAAAGGTGTGTGCCACCACTCCCTGGCCTGCAGAGGCCGAGCTCTGCATTCTGACCTTCAGGCAAGCTTTATTTGTTGAAACAAACTAAAACGTCACCACACACAACTTCAGACCTGTGCCCAGGAGGGTATTCGAGAGCTAGTCACCTTGTTTGAACCCAGCTCTGCTCTTTGCTGGCCAGTATTTGGCAAGTGGCTTTATGGCTAAGTCTCAGTTTCCTCAACGATGCTGAGATTATTACCTCACAGGCTCATTGAGGACTGAATGAGTTAACTCATGAGACAGTTAGGCAGCCCCTGTTGCATAGAAAATGCTCAGCAAGCTTTAATTGTCATTATTGCAGTTATTTGGTATATTTGGCCTTGACATTACCAATTTATTTTCCCTTCTCTCCTCTTGTCAGTTTTTTCCTAACCCTCTGAATATTTGGCTTGTTTGTTTTGTACCTTTCAGGGGCCTCTCCTGGTTACTCCTCAGTTCTCTCCCCACTCCAGACTCTGCAGTGTCCTTTTCCTTTTGGGCCACTGTTTTCCTACTACAGCTGATCTTGGACTTCGCGCTCCATATTTGAGTTCTTTTTTATTGCATTCACTAGGTAGGGGATAGGAGTCAAGGATGACTTTGTGGTTTTTGATCTTCAGGGGAGCTTGTAGGAAAAAAAGGGTTTGGGAATGGATCAGCAGTTTGGCATTCTCTTAAGATGTTTATTACAGAGGTAAAATAAGGTATAGAAGATGCTGCTTTGCCTGGCTTTTCAGGTGACCCAGATAGTCATTTGGAGATTTGTCCCTGAGTTCTTAGGGTGGAGTACCAGTGCCTGATTGATCTGTATGGAGGAGGGGAGTTGCAAGAGGACTGGACCCAGGAGTGTGTGTCTACGTGTACACATACCTGAAAGCATGAGTCACTCTGCTTAGTGTTTAAAGAAAGATCTACTTTTAATTATTTTTATTTATGTGTCTGTGTGGGGGTAGAGTGGAGGGAGTTGTGTACATAAGTGCAGGTGCCTTCGAAGGCTAGAGGAGAGTGTCAGTGAGACACCAACCATGGGTGCTGGGAATTGACTGCAGGACCTCTGGGTGAGCAGTGTAGTGTTCTTAACTACTGAGCCATCACTCTACCCCCTGCTCAGTTTTTTCTTTTCTTTTGTTTGTTTTTTCTCGTGTGTGTGTGTGTGTGTGTGTGAGAGAGAGAGAGACAGAGAGAGAGACAGAGAGAGAGAGAGACAGAGAGACACAGAGAGAGACACACAGGGTCTCTCCCTGAGTATCCTGGGACTCACTGTGTAGCCTAGGCTGGCCTTGACTCACAGAAATCTGCCTGCCTCTGCCTCCTGAGTATTGGGATTAAAGGCCCTACCCTTTAATATCTATCATGCCCTACTCTTACTCAGGTTTTTTTTTTAATTGATTTTTATTGAACTCTACATTTTTCTCTGCTCCACTCTCATCCTCTCCCCTCCCCCAAAGTCCCCATGCTCCCAGTTTACTCAGGAGATCTTTTTATTCTTCTCATGTAGATTAGATCTACGTAAGTCTCTCTTAGTGTCCTCATTGTTGTCTAGGTTCTCTGGGCTTGTGGTTTGTAGGTTGGTTTTCTTTGCTTTATGTTTAAAAACCACCTATGAGTGAGTGCATGTGATAATTGTCTTTCTGCCTTACTCAGGTTTTTAATACAAGTGTAAGTGCTTACTGAGTGGCCAGTCTGCTATGAGACCTTTTGCATGATGGCCCTGATGTTCTCATTACCTGATGTTCTCATTACATACTTGCTGAGAAGGGTTGTCTGGGCCCTTTACATTGCCCAGTGCCATCTCTTCCCAGTCATGTTTTCATGCATAGCTATTTTTTTCTGCTGCTTATAAGTAGGGTCAGGAAGTATTTGTGAAAACTTGCCATGAGGAATGATTTTACCAGTCTGTAAGTCTGCCATAAGTATCATAGATTGAATGGCCTGACCTTTGTTCTGTCCTCCCACTCCTCCCTTCCTCTCTTACACTCCTTCCCTTTCCTGCCTCCCCCTCCTTCACAGGGGCTTGTGATATTGTCCAGCTAGTCTAGAACTTGTGATCCACTGCCTCAGCTTCTGAGTGTTGGGATTACAAATGTCTGTCGTAATACCTGACAGACCAGGAGGCTTGAACAGCAACAATTTATTTCTTACAGTTCTGGAGGATGGAATTTTGAGATGAGGTGTTTGACAGGTTGGTTTCTTCTGAGATTGCTTTTCTTGGCTTTCAGATGGCCACCTTCTTCCTGGGGTTCTCATAAGCCTTTCCTCTATGTGGATCTTTGCTCTAGCCTCCTTCTTATTAAAGGACATCAGTCATGTTGGATTGGAACCACTCTAATGACCTTACTTTAACTTAATTACTCCTCTGATGACCCTATCTCCAAAAGCAGTTTGACATCCTAAGGATCCAGAAGTTGGAGCTCTAATAGGGGAGTTTGGGGGAGATCAAATTTAGCCCATAACACCATCTCTGCTTCTTTGCAGGAAGAACTGTAGGAATGGTCACAACTTGAAGACTGATCACAACCTGAGTGTGCTGAGAACTCATGGTGTTGACCACCTCAACTATAATGAGCTTTGCCAACTCTTGGTTCAAAATGACCCCTGGCTTTTACCAGAAGTGAGTGCCAGAGGGATGGTGGGGTTGAGGTCTTCTTTGCAAATAACAGTGGATGTGCTCGCTTCGGCAGCACATATACTAAAATTGGAACGATACAGAGAAGATTAGCATGGCCCCTGCGCAAATAACAGTGGAGAAGCCAGATGGTTGAAAGATAGATAGCTCAGTGCAGGAGAGAGCTGAGGACACCATTTTTATCAAGAACCATTGCATGGAGGAGACTTAGATTTAATATCCAGCTCTGCTAATTAAATATGCTGGATTTAATATCTAGCTCTGCTGAGTTTGGACCAGCCTTGGCATCTCTTGAAACTTTTCCTTCCCTATCAGTTGACAGTGAGGTTGGCCAGTGCCTGAAGCACTGAGCAGAACGAATGGCCCCAGTTGGCTTGTCCCTGAATTGCAGGAATTGGAACTGTAAATTTGGGTATTGGTCTTCTTGACAGTCACTCAGTACTCTCTCTCTACTCACTCCTTTTACCCGGGAGAATTTGAACATTAGTTGACATGCATTCTCAGATGGTGTAAACTTATTGCATTATCTCTGTATCATTTGGTGGATGAGGACTAACAGCACAGATTTATTGGGTAAGACGCAGGGGAACATGTAGAGAACTTTTAGACTGTGGCAAGGTAGGAATGGCATTCATGGCAGGGAGGAAGGAAGGTGCTGAGTGGGAGACGGACTGACTGTAGCCTCCCAGAGGGTTGCTGTGACTCACCAGATGAGACCTGCCTTTGGATCTGCTGTGCTCCACTGTCCTGGGCAAGGCCTCAGTGTGAACAGGACACTGGCTTTAAAGAGCGCCTCTGGCCTCGAGTTCTCCAGCAGATCTGAGTAGGGTATTTTGCATGGATGGGGCAGGTTAGATGGGATGTTTGGACACTGTTACTGGTTTGATCTAACAAATTAGATTGGCATATTTTAATGCAGATATTTCCGTATTAGACAATGTCACCCATTTGAGAAATGGTAGCATATCATCGTGAGTGGCACATAATAAATGTTGACTTTTTATATTTGCCTTTTGAAAATTCATATTGATTTTATTCAGCTAAGCTTTTGGGAATATCCATTTTGGTTTGGCACTGTGATCAGGAGATAAAAGATCCTGCTTTGTCCTTAAAGGAAGCAAATCAAATTGTAAGATAAGAAGGTCACAGAATGATTTCAGGGTGATGTTTGTGATTGTGAGAGTTCACGTTCTGGGCAAAGGTGTTTTCAGGTTGATGAGTCCTGTCCTGAGTGTTGGAAGATAAATGAGCCAGGACGAGGGCAGTCTGGCACCCCTGATGTGCTGGCATTGCTGGACACTTCCTTGTTTTCCTGTCTAGTAATTACAACAACTCTGCCACATTGAAATCCTACCCGTTTTAGAGATTTAAACATCAGAGTCTCAAAGCTGATGAGTGGCTTGTGCACGGCAGCTGTCAGAATTGATGTCTAGCCTTTCCCGTGGGTGGAATCCTTGAAGGAAAACTGAGTCCTGCTTCTGAAGCCCTCAAGGGATTTTCTATAGCTTGTGAAACTTAGTGCCTAGGAGTCAAGTGGGGGCCAGTTTCCATGTTGAAGTACTTGAAATGTAGAAAAGGAGCAGCGGATTGGGGGCAAGCTGCAAGTCTGCAGTTATGCATTGTGGTGCATGTTTTGTGATCTTGGTTGGTGAAGGCGGAGGACTAGGACTCATGTAGGATGAGGCCAGTCTGGGTATGGGCGACCTTGTATCAGTAAACCAGAAAAAGGCTGAGGTTTGCCAGCAACCCAGCTGAACACACAACACATACAGGGACTAGCTGTGTGACTGGGGCCAGCTGATGAAATTTTAATAAAATTTATTAAATTTGTTAGGAGTGGGGCATAAACACACATGTGTACAAGGGTGCGTATGAGTGTGCCACAGTGCAAAGGTCAGAGGACAACTCTATGGAATTGTTCTTCCTTCTTACCTTAACGTTGACTCTGGTGTTTGAGTCAGGACCTCAGGCCTGAACAGCCGGTGCTTGTACCTGTTGGACCTGGCTGTTGAGCTTTGGAGTTTGCTAGTTCCATTGAAAAATGAAGTTTTTTTTTTTTTTTTAAACTCTTTTGCTTTTGGGGGGCCTGCCACTCAGCTCCCAAATAAATCACACCTGGAGGGTTAGTCTTAATTATGAATGCCTAACCTCAGCTTGGCTTGTTTTTTTTTGTTGTTGTTTTGTTTTTTGTTTTTCGAGACAGGGTTTCTCTATGGTTTTGGTTCCTGTCCTGGAACTAGCTCTTGTAGACCAGGCTGGTCTCGAACTCACAGAGTTCCGCCTGCCTCTGCCTCCTGAGTGCTGGGATTAAAGGCATGCGCCACCACCGCCCGGCAGCTTGGCTTGTTTTATCCAGCTTTCCTTAATTTTAATTATCCCGATTACCTTTTGCCTCTGGGATTTTTTTCTTTTCTTCTGTATATCTTATTCTGTGACTGGCTGGGTGGCTGGCCCCTAGAATCTTCCTTGTTCTCTCTTGCTCCTTCTTCCTCCGTTTCTCAGAGTTCTCCTGCTATTTATTCTTTCCTCCTGCCAGCCCTGCCTATCCTTTTCTCCTGCCTCGCTATTGGCTGTTCAGCTTTTTATTAGACTGTCAGCTGTTTTAGGCAGGCACAGCAACACAGCTTCACAGAGTTAAACAAATGCAACACACCTTAAAATAATTTTCCACAACAATGAGGCAGTGGTATTTGGCCTTTTCTGAGATACATTAGCCCTTATAACCTCTCTGACTTTGAACTTAGAAAGGAAAATTGGGAGAAATGAACTAGTAAGAGATACTTGGTGTGGTGAGGCTGTTGGGGGGTAAGGCTGCGTAGGAGACTGCCACTGCTCCTGTTCCTTTGAAGTTGCATGGGTCTTCCTAGGGGAGGGTTTTGTTCAGAGGGTATTTTATTTTAGGGAGCATTTTGGTATCCATGTCTTAAGTGAAAGATGACCTCTCTGGCCCATGTGAATGGTGAAATAGTACATTGACTCTGAGGCCCCTTCTCCCCGTGGCATGGCTATTGAGAAGATGTGCTGTGTAAAGTGTTCATGGGATGTGTCTTTTATGCTCTTTGTCAACAGATCTGCCTACATTACAACAAAGGTGATGGACCCTTCGGCTCTTGCTCCTTTCAAAAGCAATGCACTAAACTGCACATCTGCCAGTACTACTTACAGGGAGAGTGCAAGTTTGGCGCTGGCTGTAAGAGGTCCCACGAGATCACTAACTCTGAAAATCTGCAGAGATTGGAGAAGCTGGGTATAAGTTCTGACATGGTGAGCAGGCTGCTCTCTACTTACCGGAATGCATATGACATCAAGAATACGGGCTCCGTCCTCAGCAAAGTGCCCCCTTCTCCTGTAGGTTCACTGGGAACTTCTGGTAAGGCTGCTGGAAAGTGCTGTGGGCCCTGGGCTTGAGACCTGGGTTTTTGTTGGTTAGTATATACAATATGGCTTTGTGCAATTGTGAACTTTAGTAACAGTCATTCATCTTTCCTAGCTCAGGTTCCGAAGATGAGTTGAAGTCTAGGCTTAGTCAAACAAGGCATTTTAGGTGATGTGAACTGTGGTGGGTACCCTAGGGTCTGCACTGAAGTGAGGTCAGCTCCCCTCTGTGCAATTGCCTTCCCACTCTCTGGAGAATTTTTCCTTTTAGTGAAGGACCTAGAGTTGGGATGCTGATTATACAGCTCTAGGGCCAACCATTAGGGTGGTATTCTTTATATAGCAGAAGAATTCAAGAAGGCATTTGTAAAACTGGCCTTGACCATCTTCCTGCCATGAGTAAGCAGATGTTCCCTCCTTGTTAATTTTTATTTATTTATTTATTGGCCTTATTCCCTAACTTTTTTTTTGACATCTAGACAGTGCTTGGCCTGTCAACATGAGTGAGTAGGCAGGAGATCTTTTTTTTTTTTTTTTTTTTTTTTTTTTTTTTTTTTTAAGTGTCTGTCAGGCTTAGTGACAAGTAGATGACTTCTCAGTTGAGATTTTATAATATTTTGCATTCATAGGTGTTTTCTCCTATGTGTGTCTGTGCACCATGCGCTTCTGGTGCCTGCAGAGGTCACAGGTCAGGATAATGTATTAGAGTCCTTGGAGCTGAATTGGCAGATGGTTGTGAGCTGCTATGTAGATGCTGGGAATTGTACCCAGGTCCTCTGGAAGAGAAACCGATGCTCTCAACTGCTCAGCAATCTTTAGCCTCTAGTAGAATTTTTTTAAAAAATAATTTTTAGTTATTCTTTGCTAATTTTGTAAATATATATACGCTTTTCTTAATCATATCCAACCCAAATCCCCTTCCTACTCTTTCCAATACTTTCTCCAAATTTATGTGATTTTTATAAAGGATTTTATTTCACTTTTATTTATGTGGATGTGTAAGTGCCTGTAGGAGTCAGAAGAGGGCATCAGATCCTCTGAAACTGAATTTGTAGATGGTTTTGAGCCTCCATGTGGGTGCTCTGAACTGAATTCAGGTCCTCTGGAAGAGCAGCAAACATTCCTAACCACGGACCCATTTCTTTAGATCCCTCATGCTATTATCTTAAAAGTTACTTGTTAACATTTATTTGTGTGTGTGTGTACACACGCAAGTTTGTGCTGTAGCACACGTGTGTAGGTCAGAAGACAGTTTGTAGAAATCTTTCTCTCCTTGTGGGTCCCAGGGATCAAACTTGGCAGCAAGTTGTCTTACCACTGAATTTCATTAGTGCAACCTGCATGCTTGTTGACACGGGGTCATCCATCTGAATGAACAACCTACCACTGGCTGTACCACCAAAGAAAGACGACTTTCCCTTTCCAAAGCAGTAATTAGTTGCCAGTAGCTCATGACTAGGAGTGGAGCCTCATAAGCCCCTCTCACATTCATAATGGAATGTTGACTGGCTTAATCTTGTGCAGGTAAACCATAGCTGCTGTGAATGCCTGCGTGCAGTGGCCATCCTTTGTCTAGAAGACAGCGTTTTGTAGTACTTTCCCATCCTCCAGCTCTCTTCTTTCTGTCCCTCCTTTTGATATGTTCCCTTGTACTTGAGGGGCGTTGATACAAATGTTTTATATAAGGCTAAATAAACACTTAATAGTCACTTATTTTTGGCACTTTGACCAGTTATAATTCTATATTGGTTGCTGCTCACTGCAAAAAGA